CCCGCGTTAGGAAAGGCCGCGCAGCCGGAGGCCACTCCGAGCCTCGGGACGACCCTGGGGGGTGCGCAGGGGGTCTGCCGTGAGTCCTGGCCCTGAGTGGGGGTCACGGGGCTCGCAGAAGTGAACACGGTTACCGCTGTGCGCAGTGGCGGAGGGAGAGGATGAGGGGCTCTGACCCAAGGTCATGTGGCGGTGAGGGGCAAGCAGGAATGAGGGCCTCCGGACCCCACCCCGAGACAGGGCTGCTGGCTGCTGCACTGTGCTGAATATAGCCCAAATTCTGACATGGGTCGTCCCCGGGGAGTGGTCATTTTTCAGGCTCCAGAGCTTGAGAGAAAGTGTGAACCCGGTCCCTGGGCAGGCCTGATTCCCATGGCCCCTTCTCCGTCTGCTCTGCACTGAAATTGGATTCTCCCACGCAGAAGGGGAGAAGGTTCTCCATCTTCCAGAGGGTAGCTACTGCCCGTTGCTCCGATTTCCTTAGGATCCCCTTTCAAGGGCAAGCAGAAGGAAATCGGTTTCCCCCAAAGAAAGTGGCCCGGCTGAGTAAGTGGGGACAAGGTGGTTGGACTGAGGCACAGGATCCTTTAGCTCTGTTACTCTTCTAATCCCGTGGCCCTGGGCACCACCACTTCCTCCTCTGAACTGCTGGAATAATCACTTCTGAGTAGCAGAGTTACTGGGAGCCGCTGTTTGTCAATGTTCACATTCTGACTTTAGCAGGAGATGGACCAAGCGAAGGAGTGCAGCCCTTGTTTGTGAACAGTGATTGTTTCCCAGATGACAGCCAGATGCCCGGCAGGGCCACACAGATCTTAGCTGGAGCCTACAGGTGCAAGGAGGAGCCACCCCCTTTGACTTAACTGGACTGACATTTACAGGACTCATGTACAGCCTGCTCTCAGGAACACCAGCCAGGAACTGTGACATGGAGGAGAGGAAGTGGGAAGGCTGGTAGGGCTTAGGTGCTTTGGCAAACATCCTAGTCTGTGGGGTTCCAGAGCCCTGGTGCCACAGCTCCCAACCCTGTGACTGGCCCAGGAACTGGCTGTTGAGTGGGCATCTGTGTTCAGTGGGCATCTGTGTTCATAGCTCTGCCCCTTGCAACCCTAAAGCAGGTAAAATGCAGGAGGCAGAAATTGCTGGCAGACAGTATCCAGTTAATCCCCACTACCCAATTCAGTTTCTTCCCCTGACCTGACACGTCCCTGCCCAGTTGTGCCTCTCACTGTTCACCTTTTGAGGCACGAAGTGGGCTGTTTATGCTGCTTCTGCATTTAGCTCAAAACGGGGCTTCAGAGTCAAAGTTCTGGAGTCAGGCACCTGGGTTAAATCTTGCCCCATCAATTCCTAGCCAGGTGACCTCAGGCCTACATAACCTTTCTGTGCCTCAGTTTCCTCATCCAGAAAACAGGGATGATGCCGTGTACCTCATTTGATGGTTGTGTGGGATCGAAGCTTCAGTCATTCAGCAAACCTATACTGAGTACCTCCTGTGCATTTATGAGTGCCAGGCAGCCTTCCAGGTGCTCAGGTAATCTGTGAACACACTGGCTATTGGAGGAAGCAAAATCAGTAACATGACCTGCTCTCTTTGATCTGTGCTACAGAAACAAAGGAAAGTGGAGAGAAAAGGAAAGGGAGAGGCATCAGGAAGTCAGGAGTGCTGGGGAGGGGCTGCTAACAGTCATGGTATTAAAGAGGAGGGCAGGCAGGCAGGCCTTACTGTGAAGGTGGTATTTGAGATGAAGGAGTTGATCAGAGTCCCTTTTTCCCACATGGAGACCACCTTGACAGCAAAGGCCCTAAGGGGGAGTGGTGCAAAGCAAGGTGGCGGGTGAACGAGAGGAGAGGGATGGTGTAGAGCTGGGTGGGGGCACAGGAGCCCGTGGGGAAGGTGTTTGCCTCTGGACGCAGTGGACGAGGTGGGGTTGTATCAGATGCCACGGGTGAAGCATCGGGAAGAGGACCCTGCACGTAAATCCTGCTCAAGGACCGCGCCATCGTCATGCGTGTGTGTATTCGGTTTGTATGAATATGATATTGCCAATCATATCTGTTTTTATGAAATGTTTGCTATGTGCCAATGATTCCATCCATGGGGAGACCATAGAAGAATGATCCAAGGAGCTGGGAGGGGAATCAAATAATAAATCAGCAATTCTGCAATATAACGCCATTGGTGATAGGTGTCATGAAAGAAATAGAACATGGTGGGGAAGCGTGTGCTGGGGATGTTCAGGTAGGGCCTCTGTCAGGAGGTGACATTTGAGCGGAGAGCAGGTGGGGGGGCCCCTGAGCAGAGGAGTGTGGGAAGAGTATTCCAGCAAAGGAAACAGCGTGTGCTTGCTCAGCTGGGCAGAGGAACAGTGAGAGAATGGTGAGGCTGGAACCAGGTCACCGGATTTTATAGTCATTAGAGGGTTTCAAGTAGGAGTGTGGCCTATCGGAATCTTGATTTTAGCAAGATCACTGTGCAGAACAGATGAAGCAGAGTCCCTGTTAGGAATCGCTGTAGAGATCCAGGCAGGAGATGCTCGGTTCCTGGAGTTGGCTGGTGGGGGCACAGCTGGTGAACAGTAGCCCAGTCCAGGCTCTGTGTTGAAGGCATG